AGACTGGATCTGGTCGGAAAACAGTTTCGGTTCCATTTCTTTGACCTTTTCAAAGCTGCTTCCAGCTTTATGTGAAGCCCTTTTATGTTGCTGGGAGCTATAGGTTTGTGACGGTGGTGGGGTTTACAGGCAACAGAAAAGGTGTGTGTGTGTGCGTGTAACAGAGAGGGACCCCCCCCTCCCTTTACACAAGCTTAACTTTATTATATCCTGGTAGCAGAGGAGATAATGTGTCTTTATCCTCTCTGGCTCTAGGTTAATACTGTACTAGCCTACCAGATGATGCAGGAGGCAGGTGTGTGTGTGTGTGTGTGTGTGTGTGTGTGTGTGTCTCTGTGTTCTGTGAGGAAATGCACGCTTGAATGTGGTGTTTAGTGAGCTGTATTCTCTATATATCTGTGAGGTCCTCCTGAGCCTGTGACAAGCTCTGTTTGCCTGTTGGTCAGCTTTAGGGGCAGCTTTCGGAGTGGTCACCGGCTCATCCCGGCTCGGTGGCTGCGGGCCTCAATCCGGCCCACACACTTTCCCAGAGTGTGTGTTTGGGCGCTGAGCTATTTTCTCTTAACTTCGGCGGGGTCCTTTGCTGGGTACGCTGATGACATGTGGGTCCTGGTGGTGATGGATTGGCTGCAGGAGTGGGGGGGGGGCATTTAAGCAAAGTGCAGGAAAAACAACTCCTACAGACCGAGGCGTGTTGGTGGAAGGAGGGGGATGTGGCTTCTAATGAATGGGCAGCTATGAGGAGCAATCGGCCTGAAACTCATTTTCGGTTCATGGCTGTGTTTTTATTTTCTTGAGAACGCGCCATAAGCTTGTTAGGAACATTCTGTTGCCGTGTGAAAGGGCGAGTCTGAGACTTAGTCCCGTCAGGTTTCAGAGTGTTGTCAAATTGAAAAGATCTACCTCAAACCAAAAGAACACAGAATAGATTTCGACCTCGAGGAAGTCCTGTGATGTTTTATTTGTAGATTTTGATGCTGAAGATGGGGCCAATACGAGTTGCCGAGTTACACAATTTGCCTGTCCGTGTTTTAACTTTCTGGCTGTTCGAGAAAACATCTGAAATAGCATTGAACGTGAAACCTATTTACGCAATCGTCCCCTCCTCTGGTTGACAAACAAGTCCTTCCAGCACATTAAAAGCATCCCTCCCTGGTAGTTTAACACACAAACACTAGTTAATGTTTACAACACTGAGCTGCAAACCGTGCTTTGCATAACACCGACTCCCAATCATGGAGTTTTTTTTTTTCAAATCTATGCTTTTTATGCCTTTTCGGTTCTCCTTTTTTTTTCCCCCTGTGGTGTTTTTGAAAGGCCTTTCCCCTGGTGCTGATATGGAGTTCGAAACTGTCGCACCGTGAGAATCCTACTTGCAATTAAAATCAGCAGTTTGGTTCCCCTTAGGTCGCGTTCTGTCTATAATAAATGTCACAGTGCTGCCAAATGTAATTTCAGCTGCACAGTAAGTGCAGGGTGGGGCTAGCTGGTAGTACACTGAGATTCAGCAAAGTTCATGGCTATTAAAGATGTATACGCCTTGCAAACTTGTCACGTCTGATGAGATTTGAAAGTGTTCTTTAGGGTGCTTTTTATGTCACAAATACTCAGATGTGACTAATCCAGCCACGTGAAGGGCCAAATGGGAGTCTGCCAGTATCTCAGCTGTTGGCTTTGAGGGTTAACCCTCGTACGTGTACGACCGGTATGAAAAACATCTTTAGTGGTGAGAGCACAGGCCGAACTTTGGCCTCCTTTTATTGAGGCAAATAAGCCTGACTGCGAGGAGTTTCCTTCAGACTAACGAGGCACTTCTCGCTCACGCCCCTTACCTGCTGGAGATTGTTAGTGTCAAAGTACGTTTGGTGCAAAGTCGAGCAGAGATAGCAGCGCATTAGCACCGGCGTCTCAGCTGCTCTGGACAAGTGCTTTTCCCCCTCTCCTCTTATCAGATGCAGCCTGCTCTTAGAGCCCGGCAACTTTTTAAGTGTCCGCATTGTGTTAACTCCCAGTACATGCTGAACTTTACCCTCGTCACGAACACCGGAGCCTCCCAGGAACCAATTAAATTGTTCTGGGCTCTCCGATGAACATAGCGATGATGACAGAACGTAGCGTTCGTGCCAAGGCTTTGACAACTCTGCGGCGCTTCCCAGCTAGGGCTGCAACAGGAGGCTTGTTTCCAGTTAGTGTAAGCTGGAGTCAAACTCCTGTTCAGCCGGATACGTCAGACTGTTTGGTCAGCAAGTCCTTGGATGCTCGCTCAAGCTGGTTTTAAATAAGCACAATTTCAGAATGACTAAGTTAGCCACAGAGTGTTTGCCTACCATTTGTTTTTTGACCACTTTCTGCTGTGTATGCACAAGTGGCAGCACCTCAGGGTCTGTTTTGCACTACATCTGCCCCCGGAACCAAAAGTGGAATATTTATTTAAGTCAACCTGCTGGTCTGGATATGCGCCTTTGCAAAGGGCACATTGCACCTGCGTAAAAGAGGCAGATGGTCCCACACAAAATGCAAACGTCGATAATGAGTTCATACCGTCCAGAAGAGCCAGAAAGCCGCTTTACTGGTTCGACCGATGCAGGAATGATCTCAGCCGGGGCTCACGCAGACGCAAACAGTGTGTGAAAGCTGCTGTGTGTGTCCGATCTGCTCTGATCTCTTCCTGGGGGTCTTTGTGTGGTTGCTAATGCTATGACAGGGGAGATAATACCTCTATTGTTGGAGAACCCCCACCGTCCTGTTTGCCTCAGCACTGCTAGGTGGAACTTCTAAAACCACATGAAATGAGTTAGGGGAAAAAAAAAAAGTTTGTCTGTCGGAGTGAGAAAATGCGCTCAAAGACGCGCACGTGCCACAAAGGGACTTGATGGAAAGCCAGACAGGCAGCTCTCACGCACAGATAGGGATGGCGTTGTCACATCCCATTGGCTTAAGCCTGTCAGTTGATGACGTTTGCCTGCGGCCAAATAAAACGCTCGATACGTTTGGAACCTTCTGGCGAGCGGGGTTTGGATATTTTAAGGCACGCAGGTCACAGTCTGTGCATATTTGTCATCACAGAATGTACTTTCTGTTTGTGCTGCACCGAAAATCTGCCACTAAGAAATTCCCCCCGTAGCTCGCCGTCCCGCATCAGCGTTTCAAAGCATTCTTCCTGCATGGCCACGACCCCATCAAACAGCCTCCACAGACTGCAGTCCTTAAAGTTTACAAACAAGAGAATGTAAACAATCCTGTTTAATATGAAATTATGCGCCCAATGCCATCATTACGCCGTCCACAGAGAGGCCAACCTATGATTTAGAAAAGAGTACAATTTCAGTGCTGCAGCATGGAAGCCACAACTATCCGAAGGGTCAACTTTTCAGGAAGTCAGTCTGGAAAAATCCCGACTGGTTTTGAGTTCCGAGGCGTGTTTTTTTCTCTCCGCTTTTGCCCGCAAACTGAAACATAGAATAACCGGAAGGCACGCAACCCCCGTTTGGAAATCTCACCCTCCGGATTCCTTTCTCAACTCGAGCAGCAAGCTGGATTTTTGTGAAATAGGAAAAGGTCAGTTCTGCGTGATATTTTACCCGGGATTTGGAGGAAGGCAGCAGGCTGGGAGCACGGAGTTCAGAGCTGGACGGGCTTACACAGGCATGATGCCAGGAGCTGTGGTGCACACGCGTGTGTCTGTGTGCTAGCTCCACTCATTGTATGTTTATATGGGACATGTGTGCATGTGTGTTTGGATTATACCGGTATGAGGCCAGGCGCCATAGTGGACAGGGGAGTGCGTGTGTGTGTGCGTGTGTGATGTTGGCTGTGCCAGACACTCCTCTGATGGACAAACAAAAGTCTGCTGGATTCCTGCAGGGTTTTCTGGCACACTGCGAGCATGTGTACATGTCACTCTGTGAGGTGTGTGTGTGTTTGTGTGTGTGTGTGAGCGCATGTGGTGCCGAGACAGACAACAGTAGCTGGATAAAGACGGCTCCAGAGTTAAAGCACACCATGGTGGCGATCGGGGATCAGCTTACCAAGCCCAGATCCAATTATCTAAACCATTAAGACAGAAAATCATCCCAGACTTGAGATCATCCATCTGTCGGCCTGTTTTTTTTGTTTTCTTCTGTTCTTTTTCCCCACGCTGCGCTGCTGCCAACAAGTTTGCCTTTAGAATGTGACCAATGGTGAGGTAAAGCGACAGCACTGGGGGTGGGGAGCGGGGGGCGGGGGAGTACGCTCAAGATAGAAAGAAAAAAAAAAAAGTGTTTCACAAGGAGATATGTTCCAAATGTTGACAGCACAACGGAAAAAACAGCAGAGGGTAAAATTATGCGATCAAATGTGATTACCGTCACAGACACTTCTAAGTCTGTGTTTTGTGTGACGGTGGGGGTTGCCCAAACAGAGATTTTCACAATACTCGTAACAGGGCTTAAGCGTCCACCGTTTTCCCATGAAGTGAAACGGGTGGACGCAGCATAATGGCAGGAAACCAGCAACGGCGCGGGTTCCATTTGTTGCTGTCGTCCCTGTTTCTGCGTGTTGACCGAGGGAAGATCCGTCCTCAGCGGCCTTTTCCACGGCACGGATTAGCTAATGAAAAGAGAACACCTCCTTTCAGCCGCAGTGCGTGCAAACCGTTTTATCCCATCACCCATAATTACCGTCAACCCTCAACCTGAAGAAATAGTTTAAACCGTAGCTGTGTTTTGGGGTTTTTGGATGGCTTACTGGGGAAGAAAAAATCCAGAAGTCCCTGGAGGAAAACAAAAAAACACAGAGACTATGAATACTGATGTAGAAATTACAGCTCATATGACTTGTTGTGTTTTCCTTAAATTTTTTGGGATCATGTTTTCAGAACTTCCCCCAAAAAACCTGAACTCTTTAACTTGAATGAATTGTTTGCTTTGGCCCCTCTGCGCCTCCAGGTCTTTGTTGGACAGTTTTCATCCGTGTTCTCTCCTCCTAACTTCCTTCCTCCCGTATCGTTAAAGGCCATCATGCCGCCCACGACCCCATACGCCGGCAAGTTCGGCTCCTGCGCCGCCTACAGCAACGGCGGCCACGTGCAGCCCCAGAGCCCGTACCGCAGCCACACCGCCCCGAAGCCGTCCCGCGAGGGCGCCTGCAACGGCGCCTACTCGGTGGCCGAGAACCCCTACGACGTGCCGCAGCCCCACGCCGCCTACCGCAGCGCCTCCGTGTCCTCCGTCGCCGCCAAGGAGCACCACTACAGCGGCTGCGCGCTGTCGGAGAACCCGTACTCCTCGCCGCAGCCCCGCAGCCCCCGCCAGCACAGCGCCTCCTGCCGGGCGCACCTCCACCAGCACGCCGCCGGCGGCGGCGGCGGAGGCGGCGCCCCGGAGCCGGCGGGCCGCGCCAATGCGACGGCGGCGTCCAAAGCCCGCCTTTACGGGCACGGCATCACCGCCAGCTACGGAGAGATGTGTTACCACGACAACAGCCTGGTGTCGGCGTCCCTGGAGGCTCTGATCCAGCACCTGGTCCCCACGGTGGACTACTACCCGGACGTAAGCGCCAGTGAAGCCCCGAGGAAAGATCACGCCACCAGCGCCGTCTGCCCGTTCCCTGAACCTCTCTGTGTTTCCCCCCACCAGAGGTCCTATGTGTTCACTTTCCTGCTGAGCTCCCGCCTCTTCCTGCACCCTTACGAGCTCATGACGAGGGTTTGCCACCTGTGTGTGGAGCAGCAGCGGTCTGGAGATGCCCTTCTGGATAAGGTGGGCGGATCACACACACACACACACACGGAGGAGTAATTATTTCTCTCCCCGTCATATCTGCTCCCACACAGCCCCTCTCACACCATGAAATCCACCAACTCAGGGCCGGGTTTTTAAATAAACCCAAGACAACACACTGGGGGTGGGAGCACTGATCAGAGCAATTCCGTTCACCGGCAGATTTGTGTTTGGAAGAGCATTTTTTTCTCACCGTCACTGAACATTCCAGCAATCCTTTGCAGATCCGCTTCCGGGAGGTGGCGCCAAAGCTGGTCCAGCTTCTGACCGAGTGGACGGAAACGTTTCCGTACGACTTCAGGGACGAGAGGATGATGCGCTGCCTTAAGGACATGACGCACCACGTCGCCCGAGGGGACGAGGTTAGTTTCTCTGCTCAGCTTTCTCTCGGTCCAGCCACACCTTGAATTGAATTGCTGTTTTGGGGATCATTTTTACCATTGCCTGATCCAATATAAGCCAAGATTTAAGCACTTTTCTAACCTTACTGTCAATCACTTAAACATTCAACGTGCTAACTTGCATTTGCTGGTAAGCAGGAACGGCAGCAACCGGCTGCGACTTGTCCTCATAATTCCATCCTTACACTAGGGTTTTCACACGACTCCATAACTGCTGTTTACCTCTAGCCGTACACACTTTGTGGCGTTTACACGTGCGCGCCTGTCCCTCCAGTACTCTTGGCGGGCCATGCAGCAGATGACCCAGCGCCTCATCAAGCGCCTCTCCGCCCTCGGCCAGTACGAGGAGGCGGTGGCGGCGCTGCACGCCGCGGCGCAGGAGCGCCCCGCCTCCCTGAAGAGCAAGCAGGCCTCGGCTCAGCGCAGCGACATTCTGAACGTGTGCGACGACCCCTTCATCCTGGCCCAGCAGCTCACACACATTGAACTGGTGAGAAGTTAGACGAGGCAGAAAACCGCAAACAGGTCACCACGTAAAGATTCATTTAAAGATTTAACAGCGGTTTCCAGTGGCCGTCGGACGCTGATTAAAACTGTGATTTTATCTTGAATTTTATCCAAATCACATTTTTTTATTGACATCCTACATCCTACTGCCTTCAGGACAGACTGAGCTTCATCGGCCCCGAGGAGTTCATCCAGACTTTCGCCATGAAGGATCCCCTGGAGAACCATAAGGTACAGTTGAGTTTGAGCGAACGCCTTGAACTCATTGCTTTTTGAAGTGTTATCATAAGGCCTCAGTCTAAACAGGATGGATTTATGGATTTCGAAACGCGGTTAAGCCCATTCAGCATCTGTGGCAGCCAGCATATTGTTTTTCTGTATAAGGACGGCTTAAGAACAAAGCGACACGACCTGTTTGTAATTATCAGCATCAAAGTGCTGACACAGATTCTTTTTCAAACACACGCCGTAGCTATTTTTAAGTCATTTGATAGTATTTTGAATCGAGTCTCAGGGTTTTACTTTGTGTGTTATTTGCGGTCGGCTTCATTTCAAGTTCATTTGCTATAGAAACCACATGAAAGAACCTCCCGGCAGATAGAAGAAAACTTGTGTTTTGGAATATGTCTCACAGACAGTGTAAAAGAATCTGAGGGGTTCCTCCCGTACTAGGTGGTCCTGCAAGTCAGCTAAAGGCTCGCTCTCAGCCAGTGGGGCTTTTTTGCGACTTGGCTCTGGGCTCTTATATAAGACCCACTTTCTGTAAAAGAGAAGTTGAGTCAGTGAAAGGGGTCCTGAAGTGTGGGGGGGGGGGATTTGGAGTGGATTGGGCTGTCGGCGTTGTGTAAGCTTTTAATAGAGCCATGAAACTCTGGGATTGCATCATCACGGCCAAGTCAAGTTTATTTATACGGAGCTTTTATAATGTTTATTTATATAAGAGCGCTCTGCAAACAGGTTCACCACACAGAAACCACATGCCTTATGGAAAGCCAACGGTCCAAGGAGCAGATGGAAATGAGTAAAAAAATAACAAGACAGACACATCACAGACTTCAGTGTGCTGGTCAGAGGTTGTGTGGGTGTGAAGGCTGTCAAGATCCATTAGCAAAGGAAATTACAGAGAACTAGCAGCAGTCCTTTTTCTGAGACTTTTTTTTTTTTCTTAAAACATTATTTATTAGGTAACCTGTGGAGAATGATGCAGATGATACTGATTTTCATCTCAGATTTACTTTATACCGGATATGCCTACGTGTACAAGCTTTTTTAAAACAGTTATCCATTCGGCCGACCTCACACTTAAGAAAATTATTGCTGGGGACCTCAGAAAGAGTGATACTGCTTTGGAAGTTGTTTAGATGAGCAAGTCTTAGCAAAAGTGTCCTATCTTTGCTGTACTTTATATATTGAAATATATAAATATATATGTAAATACATATTGTAATTCACAAGCTGGCATTGACACATTTCCTAAATGTTTGGGACAATGGATTAAATGAATGAATGAGTGAGTGAAGCAAACGGCCTGATAAAGAATGGACGTTTTTCCTCTGATTCTGCTTCAGGGTTTCTTCCGGAAGCGGAAAACCAGCAACCTGGAGGCCTACATCAATTGGTTCAACAGGCTGAGCTACCTGGTGGCCACTGAGATCTGTATGGTAAGCTGTTTTTGCAAATTACCCCTATCAAACCTGAATGCCCCAGTAATTCTGGCAGTGCTTAACAAAGTGCAATCTACAGTACATCTCTGGCTAAACATAGCTCCTGTTTTAATTATTATTTTTATGCGTTCTCTTATTAAAGCCAGCAAAGAAGAAGCACAGAGCGCGAATCATAGAGTTCTTCATCGACGTGGCTCAGGAGTGTTTCAACATCGGCAACTTCAACTCCCTCATGGCCATCATCAGTGAGTATTGACAGAGAATCACCTCATTTTTCTCTCACTTAGAGCTCAGTGGAAGGAAACAAGACCCACCTCCACACTGAACAATTGCTGTTATGACTGCACACGTCAGCACACATAAATCAAAGTCTTACATAATCTGAGATAGTCTGCGATATTCTAAGTTCAGTGTTAACATCACGCAGCTTTTTGTTGCTCGCTGTGAAATAGGGCGCGATAAAGTTAAAGTGCGGTTCCGACCACATCTTTATAGCTCGGCCTCTAAATTGACTAAAGCCAACAAATGCCGTGCCAGCTGGAGTTCAGGCTAACGCTAATCAGTTTAAGGAAGTATAAACTGAGTTAGAGGAGGCCTGGAACAGCCCGGCCTGTTCTTTGTCTTGGGTTTGTCCCTGAATGTTTACTCATGCCTCCTCTGTATTTCAGCTGGAATGAACATGAGTCCTGTTGCCAGACTGAAGAAAACCTGGAATAAAGTCAACACAGACAAGTTTGAAATCCTGGAGGTAAGAAACATTCCTGTACATAAGTGACCCCCAGGTGTAATTAAGTGTTTTTCATACCTTTTTTACTAAAAATGTATGATTCTCAGCTGTCAGTGTGCTTGTGCTCTGCCACAATGGGTTTGTATTTGCTCAACTCTGCTTTGTGTGGTTTAATTCAGCACCAGATGGACCCGTCCAGTAACTTCAGCAACTACCGCACTGCACTCCGGGGCGCCACCCAGAGGTCAGAGACGGCGCACAGCAGCCAGGAGAAGGTGAGGAAGCACACATAAGGCCTTTTAAAGGGAGATCTTGACCGCCCTGCATGTGAAACGAGAACGAAAATTCATCTGACGCCTCTCTCCTTCAGATTGTGATTCCTTTCTTCAGTCTCCTCATCAAAGACATCTACTTCCTTAACGAAGGCTGCGCCAGCAGGCTACCCAACGGACACATCAACTTTGAGGTCAGTTTGAGGCTTATTTCACAAAGATAGCTCCAGATCAGGCTGCCAGGGCCTGACTTCAACATATGATGTAAAGACTCCCCCTTGTGGTAGAAAAGAGCAATGCATTTCTTTGATCGTGTGCCTTAGCATTAGCATTTTCTGTCTTTGATGTTGGCTTTTTTGTTACTTTGTCTCAACAGAAACTTTGGGAGCTTGCAAAGCAGGTCAGCGAGTTCCTGGTTTGGCGTCAGGTCATTTGTCCATTCGACAGAGACCGGCGCATCCTACAGTATCTTGTGACCACGCCCGTTTTCACTGAAGATGGTCAGTCTCCTTCTGTCAGCTTTAATGTGACTTATACAGCTGCCACCTGCCAGCAGGAGCATCAGGCTTAATTACTCTTATTGTTTCAGAGTTGCATCTGGCCTCGTATGAGAGTGAAGGACCTGAGAACAACATGGAGAAAGACAGTCGCAGATCTCTGAGGTGGGTGCAGACCCGTGTGTCCACACCGTTAAACACATAAACTTATTTGAAGCACTCAAATAACACTGGTTGCATATGCCTTCTTTTCCAGGTCTTCTCTTCTCCATCGAGAGAATCGGTCTTAAAAGAGAGAGACAATTCCTTCTGCTTAAGAGACCATAAAAGAACAAGATGTTTTAAAGATTCCCTTTTCCACTGCCAAAGTTTGGATCTTGGATTTGAGAATATTTCTCTGCCTTTGTGATCAAAAGGAGCATAGATCATGTAAAAAATACGGAAATCCAGTCTGTCTAAAGGCACTTAAAGGACATCGGACAACATTGGGATCATGTGGATTTTTATTAATATCTCCAATGGCGACAGGACAGTCACCGTGGAAAGACTCATACTTTGGACAGACGGGTTTTGTCTGCGAACGAGATCGTCAGGGACCTGATCGACTTTGGTTGAAGCCATGGCACAGTTCATCTCCACGCAGATTTGAACATAAGAGCTGTTTTTCATTGATCTGTGTTACAAAAGACACATTGTAAAGTGCTAAAGTTCAGAAGCTGTGCCTTGAGTCAATCATTTTAAACACAGTCACTGAGGCCCGCTTTTTTCTTCTGAACACATCATGTAAGTCGGTGCATTAATCACATAGGACAGAGAAGCTCTTTGTAAAATAATCACATTGTTTGCTTTCCAAGATGTGTGCACTTTGACAATTTGATGCAACTTTGTGTGTGGCAGCAGCATCATGCAAACCATGTCAGGATGCACATTGGCGTCTTTTTGTGTAGTGTAAGATAGACTCTTTATATTCTTTGGCATTGACTTGTGTTTTGTACCGAAAGCTTGAAATGTCGTATTTTTCTTTAAATAGCTATGAGTTTCAAACATGAGCTTGTTGCTGGTTGGCTGGCTCTGTGATGGTAAGCTTTTTTAACACCACTTCATGTATTACGAAAAAGTATTTCTGTTCAGAATGATGTGTGTAAGTGAAAACTGTATGAAAAGGAGAAAAAAAAGCCCTCGCCTTGCTCTTTACTCCTTCTGCGTTCATGTGAGTGATGGCAGATACATTCAGCTAAAAGTGAAAGTGATGCTACATTTTCTATGTTTTTAAAGCGCTACTTTTAGTTTTTTTATTATCTTTTTATTGTGTTTTATCATATTGTGTCTGTATCCTTTGTGTTTCCAGTCCGGGTACTTGTACTGAAAGTCTTTGTGAAAAGAAAAATCCTTTTTTTGTTTTTCTTTAAAATAAACAGAATGTGCAGAAAAGTTGGTTTGCTTTTGACAGATACAGATTTCTGAACACCACATTGTCAGATGTTTATTTACAAAACACACTCATGTTGAACATTGATGTCAGAAAAATATGGTTAGTTGCCTTTGGCCCAAAACTGTAAAATGTGATCCTAATGTTTGCACATCAGTGAGTCTGAACTCTGGTGAAGTTGATGCAGCGGCCCTGGAAACAAAACAGGAGAGAAAACAGCACATAAACATTAACAAACATTGAATTTATCACATTAAAGGTATAAATCAGCCACACGCCAGTAATCAGAAAGGGAAAGTCAGACAACAGTTCTGAATCTAAACCTCTTCCAAGAGGCTGAAGCTTACATGAGTTAATTCGTACGGGGCCTTCTCAATGTTGTGATTTTTAACTCTTTGTCTGCTTATTGTGTGCACTGTAGAACCTGAATTCCAGTTTTAGATGTGCTAAGCCTCAAGAATTGCCTTATTTTTCCTGCAATTTCAGAAAACACTGAAAACTGCGTGAAAACACTTCAGCTGTGAGAGCCAAGGTGTTCCACGCTGATGTCAGGTAATCTTGTAAAACGTGTCATGATTTTGTACATGTTGGATTACTTTTATGCTAGGACAACCGCGGGCAGACCCTGAGGACTTTAAGCATTGTCTGATTTAGCGTTTTTCATCAGTGGAGAAACGCAGGAGACTTTTCTTGCCTTGTCCCGAGGTGTCGGCCTCATGATGGCCACTCTGTCGTACTGTCTCCTCATTAATGCCAGCAGTGCGTCAAGTCTCCCCTGAGGATAAAACCAATGTCGAATTTATGTTAAAACAAAATAATCACGTCTGTTCACAAAGCTGCCTTTCAATGTTTCAAGTCAGGTCTTCGTCTCACCTTGATGGGAGAGTACCATTTGGTTTGGGACGGCTGGCCGCAGACTGGAGGAGGTCTTGGCGGAGGTCGAGGAATGATGGGCTCCTCCACTTCCTCCGGCATGGTGACCACAGCGTCTTTGGTCTTCTCCAACCGAGAGCCCTCCTCTGTGGATCCCTTTTGGCCCCATCTCACCTAAAGGAAGTGGGTTCAGTTGACCTGGCCGGCAGAGATTTGATTTCATAAGCAGGTTTTGCAGATTTTTCAATCACCTCCATGCGTTTGATTCCTCCCGGACCCCTCCCTCCATAGTACGAGGCATCCACGGTGGGCCACTTGTGTTTGGGAAAAGGGTCGTCCTCCATCTCCTTAAGCGATAAACACGAATCCATTTAAGTGAGAGTTTCATCCCAATTGGTAAACCCGAATTCTAGAAAATATTCACTTTTAGTGGTGAGGCATGTGTCGGGAGAGAAAACAACCTTTGAAGGGGAACATTACAAGGCAATATCTGTTTTCTGACTCATCCCCAACAAATTGAATCTGCCAACACAACTTGTCTCCCGCCCAAGCTCCACCAACGCTCCCTCTGTTTCCAACCAGAATTAGATCTTCTCTTAGGCACCACTGCCAGGATGGCAACAGGGAGGTAAAACTCAGCCCTGAAAAACACAGGGTTCAGAAAGCATCTGAGTTTTACTCACAATGACCGGAGGAGGAGGGGGGGGGCGAGCTGGGGGCGGGTCCCTGATGACCTGAGAAGAACAAAACACAACAAGGCGTTTGAGACACTTGAATAGTAAAAGATAAACATAATGTTTCAAGTGTTTCTGCAACCCTGGCAGTCTGAAGAAGGGAAAGAAATGCAAAAGGAGAACGTTGACCATTGTAGCCCACATTTAAAGTTGGATTTTATTGAATTTTGAAAAACATGGTAGTAAAAAAAAAGAAAGAAAGAGCTCACCACGGTGCAGCAGAGAGGCCAGAACCACCAGAGTAAAGCCAGGGCCAGCAGCAGCAGCAGGGCCAGCAGCAGCCACAGCACCCAGGCGCCATCTGACTGGAGCAAGCACACAGGTCAGCTGCACCACCGCGCACCCTCCACCTGCCGACGCCCACACTGGGACAACCGTGTCGGTAAATGGACTCAAATCCGACACGTTTCCGTCGCCAGATCCCGGCTGTCGTTCAGACTCACGCATGTGGTGGCGCGTATGGTTATGGGGCCGGAGATGAAAGACTTTCCGTTGTTCAGACTGATGAGGACTTGGATGGATCTGGTATCATCAGAACACAAATAACATCATTAAGAGTGGCCTAATAAACAGCCAGGACCACTATCAAGGGGCATAAGTGTGTCCAAACATCATATGAAATAAGAAATTGCATTTATATTCACATACTTAGGGGCAGAATTGATTGATTTGAATATTCAAAGAATGAAAATGTTGTTGATAAAAATGGTTCATTGTTGAATTATTGTTTAACATTTTGTAGAAAAGTCAAATATAATCTTTTTAAAAAGGAAATAAAACAGATTTAACTGACTAAGGCATGGGGACAAGTACATGGATTTGGAGTTACAAGCATTCACCTTTTAACTAATGGATAACAGCTAAACTTTTAAAAGTGCTAATACTTAAGTAAGTTTTCTTCTGCTGTGATGTCAGCATATAACTCTTTGTTCATTCGTTTATTAAATATGACACCAGGAAAAGAAACCTGTTGCTTTAAGAGAACAGCAGTGGCAGCAATGTTTTGGCCTCATTATTACATCATGCTGCATTCCTCCTTATTCACAGTTTAGCAGATTAGTTTCTTTGCATTTATATACATGTGTCGACTTACTGTCCAACCTCTTGTAGACGGGGAGCTGTACACAGCAGATAGCCATCTTCAACTACAGTAGGCTTCTCATCTGGCAACAAGCGGAGAAAAAAAGACAGATAGATAAACAAAACATTATTCAATACTATTCTCTACTGTCATATGTGAAAGTAGCACTTCATCCATGTTTTTTTTTGCAGTGTCAAGTAGAAAAGATACTGTCAAACAAAATCATAGTACAAACATCCCACACATCTGAACAACAGTAAATTAGACGTCGCATTTTTGCTGGGCTTGGTCTCTAAGTGATATTGATCTGTTAATAGACTAATGGGGGAGAACATCTCCTCCCTCCCGCTGCCCGGTCTCATAATGGATCCTCTGTTCCCTGGCCGAAGCCAATAAAAGACAGCCACTGTTTCTCTCTGAAGGTTGTGACTCTGACTTTCCACTTCAGAAATCTGCAGGCTGTATCACATTGCAGTTGGTGGCTGATTTCATCCCTCCTCGCGGCAGGGCCATCGGGGCGCGAGCAATCATCCGCCATTCACGTCAATTCAAATGCATCAAGTAAGAACTTATTTTAAGTCAAACGAGTGCTGTGAGTGTGTCATTTACTGTAAGTCCTCTGGTTGAGAGTGATGGAACACAGTATGTTGTCTATCCTCTTGGATCCGCTAAAGCCAGTGCCCCTCAAAACCACGTCGAAAGACTCTGTGAAACATCAGACACAGCACAGACATGTTAGAATGTACTTAAGTGGAGCAGTTAACCTCTTCTCTCATCAGACTATAGTTAGAAACAGCAAGAGTGTTTTTTTTTTTTTCCATCAGCAACAGTGTTAAAGTGCGATGTTGCCCATGTTTACGATTTAAGTGTACCAAGAAAGAATGTCAATCTTTGCAAATGAGTATTGGATCAATCAATTTCTTTGAGCTAATTATGATGTGGGATGAACAGTCAAAGGACAGTTTTTCATTTTCTAGAACTATACCGAGGTGAACTAAATTTCATCCCGGAGTTTATACAAAATATACAGGTGTTTAAGCCATTGCTGCAGTAAAAGCCTGGTACAGTCGGGTAAACTCATTAAGACTTTGCATTACACAGGCAAAGACAGAACGCCCCTCTGTTTATAATTATCTGATCAAAAACTAAAATCAACAGCAAAACGGACGCCTCACATCATAAAAGAGAAATACAAATGAAAGAGGCAGCAAAATTTATTGTATGGGTATCCTTTTTTTCTTCGGCAGAGTTCATTCCAAATATTTTAGATGGAATCTGCTTTTAATGAGTGGACAGTTTAAAAAAAGGTTTTTCCTTTTGCTTTTATGTTTTGCAAAGCTGGACAGGTTTCCTGTCATTGTCCCATGAAAATGTCCAAGACCATCAACTAAAATAAATTCTAGAATTCTAGAACATTTAATTCTATAATGTCCTAAATTCAACACTTCTCAGCATGATAAAACCTCCCCCATGTTGCAGTGTAGGTGTGGCTGTCTCTTTTATTAGGGCTTGACTTAGCTGCATATAAACAAACTGGTGCACTGCTTCCCCCCCAGGGCTCTATTTCCTTTTCCTTTGTGTACAGAACACCATCACAGAGAAACTGAGTCTTATCTCTGAAAGTTTTTGTGAACTCGTTTCTGGTTTTGAGGTCACTTTAGTTTTCACTGTTATGTAACGCAGGCCAGAGCTGCTGCTGTTAGGAGCTCTGAGGCTAGTCTCATGCCTTGTATTAATTTCTACAAACTTTAACATAATCTTTAAAAACCTTTCACTTACTTCTCTCCAATCATTTCTCGACCGTGTTCTGGAAGCATCAAAGCTTTTTTTTGTCTATGGCTATGAACAATAGAAAATAGAAAAGCAGACTCACCATTCACACACACGCTGGAGGGCTCGATTGTGAACACTTCACTGCACGACTGCCTGAGGACCTGCCGTACACACAGACAGGTATAGGACACAGAGCTAATTCCGATCATTCGTTTTTATATATATATGTATATGTACACGTTTGAAGTGTGACCTCACTTTGCTGACGATGTCTTTGAGGGCATGAAAGCCGGACAGAACAGGGAAGACTTGCTCTTTCCCGTCTGCTATGTCGGCAAGCTGTGGCAGAAAAAGAACAACAACGTTTAAAAAACGTGATTTACCCACTTACATCACGTGCAAAGAACTGTGAGTTACAGGTTGCTGCCTCTCAGACAGGTCCTTGGTTTGAGACAATCTGGGGGGGTTAGTTTCCAGGAGATGAAAGCTCTGGGCATCTGGCTAAAGCTTTCATCTCCTGCTTTAATGACAGCAGAGGAGGAAGTTGGTCTGGCATTATTTAATCAGAGTGATGTAATCGCTTCCTCTTTAGACCACAGTGCGCGGTTGGTCAGTATTCTGGCAGAGAAAATCTTGCACTGACTACCGAAGAGTTTATGGGTCAAAAGGGAACTGCAAGTCTTTTATAGGCACTTCAGACATCCTCAGTGATTCTTCCTGTGTAAATTAACACCAAAATGAAGGCTTACAGAGACAAAAAAACAATCAGAGCAGGACGCTGTGTGAAGGAACATGCCACTTTAAACTTAATTAAATTCACTAGCATAAGTTTTTACATGTAATTCTCTTCACTGCAAATGTTATTACCCATAATCACTGTGGTGTCCTATGAAATCGTGACCAATTTCCATCTGTATCTCTCAGCACTGACAGTCAGTGGAAGGCATTTGGATTTATTCCTTTCACCATGACAGCTAACTTTCAGTTCCATCCCTCCTTGCGCTGAATTGTCACATCCTCAGATCTGTTCCAGACCTCTGCCGGGCTCTTAACACGATTTTTGGCAAATTAATCCTTTTAAATAAATAAGTACGAAAGAAAAACTAAACGAGCACACAGGCTCAGAGATGACGGCCAGCTGCCTGCGGTTCCCCGGTGGTTTCAGTTGAAACATGACGGAATACACAGCATGGTCAAGGTGCGCTTTTAAAGCCGGACCAGAAACAAAAGCCCATTGAATGTCTCATCGCAGCCCACAAGGACACGGGGAAAGGCAAACAAAGCTTCAGTGTTCAAACAAGCTACAGTATCAGTGACCGACTGAGAGTTCTATTAAATGGGAGTGATGATGAAAGAGAGGAGTACAACATAAAGCCCCCCCTACCTGCTTCTGGTCAAAGTCCATGACCCCGACACAGTAAACTCTAGCTCCAAACTCTCTGACTTTGTCAGCCTGGGAATCAAAGAAATACAAGTACACAGTGAGTAACATTCCACCCTTAATAAAAGACAGCATTTCTTCATTTTTTGGGGGGATAAGACCAGCCTCAAATATCAGCAAGCAAATTCTTAAAAATTCAAGTTTACAGAGCAAAATTAACTGATTTCTCTACAAACTCTACAAACAATGATGCCACTGGCATCATTTGAAAATCCCAGAGCTAAAAAACGCTGCTCTGAAAGAAAACTGTTTTTAGCTGAATCAAAACTGGAAATTACTTTTAAAGAGTAGCCATTCATGTTTCAAGTCTTGCTTTTTTAATTTGATTTCACTTAATTATACACCAGCAGCTGCAATGACAGAGTTTTTATGTTTTTATGAGAGTGAGAGATGGGATGCTCATTTTTCTAAAATATCATCCTCGCCCACATCATTTACCACAATGTTTGTGTGCGTGTATCCTTGTGTGTGTGTGTGTGTGTGTGTGTATGTTACCTCCGTTATACTCAGTTCATAGGGGTAGATGTCCAGCTTGCCATCAGTCAGAACGATAATGATGCTGGATGATGGGGAAGTTTGGCTAATCATTTGCTCAGACACCTGGTGAGTGAAGGTTGATGCAAAGTTTCAGCTCTCTTTCATTGCAAACCTTTTCCCAACAAATCAGAATGCAGCAGAAAGGGACCAAAACACACCTGACTATAGAAGGGCTTTTTTGTTGCTGACAGACATTACAAATACATACTGTATGACCCCGCTGTGGGAAATCCCCGCTTTAGTTTTCAGTTTTGCCTAAAAATGCTCGGCAATAACAAATACAGTTTGTGCCACGCTAGTAGTAGTGGCTCCTACCGCTTTTAGGCCTTCATGCATGTACGTTTCACCCACTGGCTGGATTTGGCTCAGCTTTCTCAGACCCTCATCTATTTTGGACCTGTGCATTAATATCACAAAGCATCACAATCTGAACAAAAATGCACGTGTGTCTATTGCCGGATGCACGTCATGAAGCTCACAGGATGAGGAGAGGAAGTACAGACCTGTCTCCAGTTAGTGGAAGAATAACAGTAGCCCGAGCTGAGAAGACAATGTAGGAGACCCTCATCCTGGGACTGAAACACACACACACACACATGCATACATAGCTGATTATATCAAGAAATAAACAGTCTGAAATGTATATATAGCAGAAAATATATATTCTATTGTCTGAACAGAAGAATTTATTAACAAAAAATTGATGACAATAAATGATTTCTTTTTCAAATTGCTATTAGATATCCAACAGTTAAACTTCATTGGATATTTTCAGGGGCTGGACTCAAACATAAAGCCCTACAAGTGTTAGTACAAAGGGGCACAGGAGTGTCCGTTGTGGTTGGCACCACCTTCAGCATCTGGCTGCATATGTGAGTCTTATATTTAGCACCCTGCTATTAAACCTAAAGATATCCCACATCCTGTGGACAATTACGCAGAGCCATTTCAGAGCAGCTGCTGGCTTTGTGTGATGTCTACGGCCCCAAACAGACACACCCTACTCCTCACTATTACTTGTGGGTTGTAATGGAATGACTCTGCTGTGTAAATAGCTTCTGTTTCCTTTAGTTTTAATATCTGCTGCATGGTGGAGAACATCCATAAAGTCGTTTGAATCTGCAGCTTGAGACTTTTTTATGTGACAAGAGGTTAAGCGGAGGGTGGTGTGGAGAGGAAAGGGAAAACATCATCCAAAATGAAATGCGCAAAACTGTCACCGTACCCACCTGACAAACCTGCTGGTGAGCTGCTCCACAAAGCCATAGATCTCCTTCCAGTGTCCCCACACACTGCCTGACCTGCAAGAACCGCCGGTCAGCAGAAGTGCACACAAAAGTAGGAGAGGCACAAATCACCAGGGACAACAGTTCTAGATTTTAAATTAAACTAGAAACTAGGAAGTATAAAAAAGTATGTAGATCTATGCAGAAATTTCACATTTAGAAAGTTTGGTAAAACCCAAGTTTTCAAAAATACCCCAATAAATGTATACTGGGCTGAGTGGTAGAGAGAAACAGACACTATGTTTTAGTTAATTTTGTTATCTTTGGACATTTTTAAGTATAACTAAACACAGTGAGGGAAAACAAAGAGAGAAAATAGTAAGATTTCTGTTGTGGAGACGGGATTAAAATAAACCCTGTCAACACAGCCCTGCATCAGAGGTGGACCGTAGCAAACTAAACAGAGCCATACATGGACAGGACTGAGTTTGCAGGGAGAGAACAAGTGTTTGTCCTGACTAGTTGTTTCGCCCCACAGCAGACACACGGGCCTCCATCACAACTCACTTGTCTAAAACAAAATAAATATCGAACGCCCCATCGCACGACGCGTCGTCGCCATCCGGCAGCGGAGAGCTGGCGCAAACCCCCCCAACGAGCAGCAGCGTTTGGCACCATATCCACATCCGATCCATAATCCATGCGTTACATGTCAGCTGCGGGTTTTGTTGTTGGAAACAAAGTCAAGACGGCACAGGCACAGAAGTCCGGCTAAGGGGGAGCTTTCTCTTCTCTCCTCGGATTCGAGCCAGTCGCTCACATGTTTGAATGGGATCTCTGCCGTGCGCACAGCAGTGTGTGCAGGCTGCGCCAGGGGGATCTGGGAATAAAGAGGCAGGGGCGCACACCCTGTGCTGGAACAGCGGTCAAACCGCCAGTGGTGAGCACGGTGGAGAGCTTCCTCCTTTCTCCCTTCTGAGATTCTATCAATTCTTCAACAGTGCCAACAAATTCAACCAATATTTCACAAAACACGGTGGACACGTTTAAAGCAGAATAGAGTGATTTCTTCTCTGGATTGTAGTGCGTTCCAATCCATCGATATTATTTGTTTAGAGGGGGTTAAAGGGGTGATAATAAACATGTCAACAGATTGGAGGGCAATTGGAAAATATGCCGAGATTATGTGCCAGTTTTTAAGAGTTGTCAGATTTAGGGGAAATGCGCAACTGAGTCGGTTCATATTGTTTTCACGTTCGTAGAAAATGTGGGTGCTTTTATGTTGAAGTTCCAGTGGTTGTCTTCCCAGTTTCCCGTGACTTTTTACTCCACTTTACGGCTTAAAATGCATAAAGAAATCTGACTGACCAAGGGTGGGAAAAAACTAAAACAAAAACACTTTTTTTCAGAGCAGTTGAAAAGAGAAATGACATTTTGATTCAAATCTAACTGTATTATAAAATTAATCAAAGTTGTTTGAAGGTGCAATCTCGGCTGTGCGTGATTGATGTCAATGATCTCAGAAAGCATCATGTTCCTGTACATCTATTGCAGATTGAGACAGCCTCAGGGGTTTAGGGTGTTGTATAATTTAGCTTGAAGCTGATCCAAAACGTAACCTCCCAAAAGATGAAATCACAGCAAATTCACTCTTTTTGTGCCCAGTCACGCAGTGTGATGAAGTCATTTGTTTTTTTCATCGAAGAGTTCATGTTTCCAACAATACATGTCAACCCAAAAAACCCAAACCCTACTGTTTCCCTTTGTTTTTTATTTTTATAAAAAGCTGGACACAGTTCGGCACGCGGTGTCAGTGTGTGAAGCATTGATTTCATTCCTGGCGTTCTTTTGGGATGCAGTGTGTTGTAATTAAACATTTCATTGTGATTCAAGCATGCAATAGGGATCCTGAGACGGGTCCAAAGCAACAAACCACTTGGGTTAAGCAGCTCAATAATAATAACATACCAAAGCCATTGTGTCAGTGAAAGACACCCCCTCCCCAATATGAATGATGAGACATCTTATTGGTGGGGTGTGGTTGGTCCATGTTTATCATCCTTAAAACTTCAGCAAGGGCTACAAAATTGAGTTGGCTGGATCATCAGAAAATGTCAACAGTGCTGAAGCACTCATAAGTTCTAACAAACAAAAGCCGAGATAAACCACATGCCACCGCTCAAGATGAAGTTTAGCTGGAAAGGCTGAATGTCAGGAGAGAATGTTTGCGATGCAAACACCTGTTTGCAGAATAAAGAAATGGAGATTTTCTGCCCAGGGGCTTGGAATTGTTTGCCCACAGGCAATGTCCTCCTCCAAAAACACAACAAAGGGAAATTCACTAAGGGTGTGTGGAAGAAAAAGAAACACCCCCACTATAAAAGTTCATAAACATGCTGCGTTATAATTACAGTGTCGCCAGAATTATTAGTGAGATTTAATGGTGGCTTTGCAGTAGTTTTCACAGGGATTGAGGCCACTAAAACTTTTTAAATGAAAGTGGTAAACAATATATGCATATAAAGAAAGCCTAATAAAAAACTAAAACAAACAAAAAAACATTGGTATAAAGAGAACAGAAAATAAAAGAGACCTTTCTGGTTTTAGATTTAATAAAAGGCCGCAGATGCATGTCTGAGCTCTCCCCACTAGGGGGCAGTCTGGTGCCGTTTTACGGCTTCAGCCAAAAAATCATTGAGAAAGAAAAGGAAAAAAATAGAAACAGGTCTGCTGCTTAGATGGATGGCGAATTGCTGACTGGCTCCATCAGTTTACCATAATGTGATTTTTTTTAGTTTAACGCTGGCTCGATAGCCATCGGGATAAGGCCGAAATGTGTGTGCGACAGCCGGAGTGCGACTAACGGTGAGCCTGACACTTTACCTGTTCCCCCTGTGGACATATATACGTCTATGGTTCCCCCTGTGGACGTTAGCTAGCCTGCTAGCAGCTCCCCAACACAACAAGCCGGTGCGGCAAAACAGGTTGACCTTGTTTTTTTGTTTTGTTTTCTTATTTTGATAGGGCTGGCGTCTCGACACGTCCATACTCGATAATACTTGTCGCAAAGATTTCATACTCTGCCATTTTTTTTTCATATTTCGCTGTCGTGTACACCAGTAGCTTTAGTATTTTCCCCTTCTTCTCAGTGACGTTTAGCGATAAACAGCCCGTAACTTCTTAGTGTTTTGTCGCTTCTTTTCTTCCTCCAAGTGCAGCTTTAACGTCCCCAGCTTGCCTTTTTTTCGTGCCACTGGAACCCGGGTCAAGATGCTGCTGAAGATGCCTCAGAAGTTGCTGAAGACTGCCCACTACATAGAGCTGGGCAGCTACCAGCACTGGCCGGTGCTGATCCCCCACAGGATACGCCTCTACACCTACGAGCAAATCCCGCTGTTCCTCAAAGAGAACCCCTACATCACAGACGGTTACCGGGCTCACCTGCCCTCCAAACTCTGTCTTAAGAGGTGTGGGGGGGTCACTTTACTATTTTAGGTCACTCTGAGCCCTGGTAAGTGAGACCCTCCTGCTAATATTCTCCACCTTTTGTGCTTTAATCCAGTATTTTTATGCTGTCTAATGAGACGGTGAATATCTGGAGCCATCTCCTGGGGTTCCTGCTGTTCTTCTCGCTGGGGGTCAACGACCTGTCCTCCGTGCTGCCGGCCTCTGGAGCCAACCGAGAGGACTATGTCATCTACGCCATTGGGCTGTTCTGCTTCCAGGTGACCGTTGCTTTGGCTCGCGCCTTCATTAATAATCGAGCGAGACGCCGGTGTGCTGTTACCGTTTGTTTTTTTCACTGGTTGCGATGAACTGACGGACGCCGGTGTGCTTTCCCTGCTGCTGGGGCCATCAGCTCTGCCTCTCAGGTGTGTGCAGGTCGGGGTTGGAGCACAACGCGCCGAGTCCTTAGAGAGCTCTCAAACCTCTATGTTTTGTGCTCTTGTGTAGAAAGCTTGTAATTGGTTTCAAAATGTCTTGCTTTAAAAAAAAGTAGTTAGTGTGGGTACAGTGTAGTAGGTACAGTGTTAGTTAGGTGTTCCCTCCACCTAGGCCTAGGCGATATGAACCAAAAATAATATATTTTTAACCTGAATGGCGATATACGACATAAATCTCGTATGTATACGTGTGTGTGTGTACCAAATATACTTGAGACAAAGCTTTGTCTGGCATGCAGACAGTTTAAAGCCGAACCATCTCCAAATTATTGAGCCATTGTTTTGTTTTTTAGTGCCTTCCATCGTGGCTATATGCTAAACTTTCTAGATTGTCAAGGCCCCAGATGACGTAGTGGGGAGGGATGTTCTTAGAGTGAGGGAGGAGGGGCCGCGGGAAGTTCGGCACGGACATATGAGGAAGAATGGAGAGGAATTTGTGGATCCAAAAGAATAATTCATCTGCAGTGTTGACAATTTAGATATACAGGATATGCTCTCATCTTTTAACTCTTTCTAATAAAACTCGATATATCGCCCAGCCCTACCTCCACCCCTTGCTGTTATATGTACAGTATGTTATAGCTTTCTGTTGATGTCTGATACCCAATAGAAACCTACTGAGTGTTAACTTAATATTTATTGAAACACAGACACATCAAATTTCTATTTCTTTAATAAGCTGTTGGTGTTGTGATACAGAGAGACGAGGAGTGCCTCGTCCTTGGGTGTGTGACTGTAGCGTGTTTTCCTCCCCAGGTCTGCATGCTGTGCTCGGTGGGCTATCACATGTTCTCCTGCCACCGCTCAGAGAAGACGTGCCGGCGCTGGCTGGCGCTGGACTACGCCGGCATCTCCGTGGGCATCCTGGGCTGCTACGTGCCAGGGATCTTCTACGCTTTCTACTGCAACGCCGTGAGTGCAAACACTCGACGGGAAGTTCTAACCGTACGGCTGCCCCCATCACAGGACATCAGACGAACTAGAAAAGCAGCGGATGCTCCATCCTCCCGCTGAGAGGCCTTTTAACGGGGTTTCCCCCTCTCTCTCCCTCTCCTGGCAGTTTTGGCGGCAGGCCTACCTGCTGACGGTGCTGTCGCTCATCCTGGCCGTCTTCAGCGCTCAGGTCCACCCCCGTTACCTCAGCAACGACTGGAAGCTCGTGCGGATGACAATCTTCTGCTGCGTGGCGGGCGTGGGCGTGATTCCCGCGTGCCACTGGGTCTGGCTCAACGGAGGCTTCACGTCAGATGTCGTGCAGGTCGGTAGGGGGGGGGGGGGGCGCGTCCTCACTGGTGACACTTTGCTGTAGCCCGTCAATGGTCCGATCGGACCTGACCGTTTTATTTGTTTTCCTCCGGGCAGCTGTTTCTCCCTCGTGTGATAGTGATGTACCTCATTGCTGGATCTGCCTTCCTGTTCTACGTCACCAAAATCCCCGAGCGCTATTTCCCTGGTGAGGTTTCACCCTTCTCTTTGTTCTGTCATTTTCTGAGATGCAGTCAAAGATCTTATACACATCGTTTTGTTAAAGCTGGGCTTTTGTCTCTGTATCCTGACTTTTATGTTATGTTTTGTGTGGAAATGGTCACCACTAGAGGCCGCTCTTGGTCAGGTGAGCTTTAGGTCGGACAGAGTTACATCTTTGCGTTCAAGTGCACCGCAAAGAAACGCATGGAAGCATGTCATAAAACCGCCCATAAACTAATCATAAAACCAACCCCTGATGTCTTTGTGAGAGCCGATGTTCTATACAGAACGCACAGAGGGAAACGGTGGCATTTATATAGAGGGTCAAATGGATTTAGCCCCTGAATGGCCAGAGGAGCTTCGAAACGTTAAATCACAGCCTCACTCACAGGCTGAAAGCTTAATTGTAGGTAAAACACAGTTTTTTTTCTAACATCATGGACCCTGTTCTTTTTATGTGTTCCAGCAGGACGTCGGGTCGTAATATGAGACAAAGTACAGCAGATGAAAGCTTCTGCTTTTGTTTAATCATTTCAAGCCCTGCTACAAAATGTCACTGTTTGAAAACCCATCCTTTTTTTTTTATAGCACCGGCAGTTCATTTTGAGCTCAAAATAATGTTTCTAAAGGTGTCCTTCGGTGGAGAACATGCGGAGATGAGGTTTAGACCCAGTGCTTTGTCTCCGTCTCCAGGCCACGTGAACTTCCTCGGCGCCAGCCACCAGCTGTGGCACATCCTGGTGGTGGGGATGTTCTACTGGTGGCATCAGACGGCCGTGTACATCATGCGCTTCAGACACAGCCAGCCCTGTCCCGGCCAGAGCAGCGGCAGCAGCAGCAGCTAAGGACTCCTCCTCACCGAACGTCCCACCGGCACGATTAGCTGCTAGCTAGCGCACCACAGTAACCACCACGTTTAGCCGCCGCCTTCAATACCACCACCACTCACTGCATGATGCCTCTGACTGACAGCTGATCACCGGAGATCACCGCCGCCTTCCAGCTGAGTCTGCCCAGCCGGTCACCTCTCCCCCCCCGCCGGATGGTATGATCCGTGTCGGACAGACCGACTGAGGAGATATCTAACCATCAATTCAGTGCATGGTAGAGATTTAGTTGTTTTGTAGATGCGGACAAATATTTTGCTGTTTTTTTAAGCATGCTCTGCCACGGTCGGTTTGGACTATGTGGGTTCACCTATTCTTGGGCAGAAACATATATATATTATAAAAAAAAGATCCCGTCAATTCTAAAATAACAGTCTGTATGAATTCTGACAGTTTCATTTAGATTCTTTTTCCCTTTTACCTGCCAGTTCCTTCTGGGGTTTTTGGTACAGAAAAACAGTGGCACGGGTGGGAAAAATCTGAAAGCTTCAGCTCTGAGAAGCTCTTGAAAAAACGGGTTTAGGTCAGTCGATTAGCTGCAGTGTTCTCTGAATGTGGAAATGGCTGGTTTTCTTTGCGGTGCGTTTGATTGTTTTTGCGGTGTTTTGGGTTAAGAACGCATCTGGTGATGGGGAGGGCATGAACTTGTTTGAGCTGTCATGAGGTGTACAGAAAATGTGCTCTGCCTAAGAGAGACCACCCAATCGCACAGAGGTTGTATTTGCATACATTTGAGCCGGCTTCTGCCAGTAATTAAAGCGGTGACCTCTGTTAACAGTTGGAGAGCAATCATAAATAATCATTTTCACTGAGACAACGGAGAGAACCTGAAACATGGCTGGATTCAAATTTAGCATCATTCAGTGTTTAAATTTCCAGTTGCACTGTATGTCAAAAAGACTGTATTTGTGTCTCTGATTAAAGGAGTGTTTTGCAGCCGGAGTGTGAGAGAACACATTAAACTGAGCGCTCTCCACAGCTTTGTGTAAATCTACCAGGTGTGTGAGGAAGAAAATCCAGTAGATGCACTCCAACTCATTCTGGTTACAGACAGGCCAGTGAACAGTTCATGTACCTTTTGCAAGAGTTATTTTTGTGTTACACATTGCCGGAAACCAATGCATGGTTTAGTATTTTGTCTATACAGGTCAGTCATATTTGACTCTAATTTGCCTTATAACTTGTGAGTGTTGGTTCTGTTCTCATAAATATTGTTTTGTTTGCCCTAAAACAAGAACAAATTGTTGACACTATGTCTTTTTTGGTGCTTTCTTTAATTCTTTCAACCGTTTATGAACTGGAACAAGAAGCACTTAACTGCTGCAGACTGCAGCCCTGGAAAAAGCACCAGATTTGCCAAGAGAATCAACTCCGTTTTTCCTGTGAATCGTTTGGTATTTATTCTCTTTTTTTGTTTGTTTGGGATGACTGGATTCATGTTTTTTCCCTCTCCTGGTGTTTTCTGAGTATTGTTTGAAGGACTTGTCATATCTTATTTATTTTAGTGCCTCTGTGAAAATGTATTTTTCAACATTTGGAATAAATAAAGAATGCTGGGAAAATGCTTTTCTTCTAGAATACTTTCTTTTTAAATGTTTCTGTTTAGTCAGCTTCATAGCAGGATACCATCAGGTAAGATTTGGCTTCCTGGAGAAGCAGCGTGTGTATCTTTAGTTAACAGCAGAGGGCAGCACTGGGAGAAATGTACTTTAATCAGAAGGTTAATTTTATTTGAAAATTACTTTCAGATTTCTGTTTCATTATAATAAATAATCTTTAAGCAGTAATGCTCTCTATTTTTCTTACTAAAAAAATATTTTTAAAAGAGGAATTACAAATTCTTAAAATTCTAAAACAGATACTCTGTAAATAGTCTTAAAATGAGTTAAATACTATCTCAGATGATTCAGAAATAATCATGTGTCATTGTTTCTCGATCAAAGGTTCAAAAGCAGCACCTGCGAAGCAACATTACCAGATGCAGCTCACCAGATGAACCGATCATCTACAGGTAAAATCAGTATATTTCAGTCCACTGGACAGAAACATAATAAATAATTTCATGTGAACATAATATTAGGGAGAAAAGACAGCAGACATGTCTTTGGAAAAAGAATACTTTTTGCCCAATGATCTGGGAAAGATCTTATGTTTCCAGACAAATTCCTCTCCCATCATTCTAAAGTGAGATAGATTGATCTCTAGTGGAAACTAGTTATCAAAGGGGGGGCTTTTTGGTGTTAAAGTCAAACTTCCTGATCTGCAGAGAATCTAGCAGGTCTTAATTGGCATCTAAGATGTGTAACTTTACCACAGTGTGAGAAAAGGACATAATTATATTGGATGGCATTCCAGAAGAGTATTTTCTTCAACCAAAAATATATTTTGGGTTGTCCTTAGTTTTCACAAGTTGCATCAGATCAATAAATAATAACCCCATCATGAATAATAACTACAGCTACATCAAAGACCAATGCTTTTCTCTCTTTTCTTTTTGGTGCTTTGTTTTGAGCTAATCAAAAACCTTGAAATGGCCAGACCTATACGTGATTGACATAGGAAAATGAGGCACACTCATTTTTTGCTAGACTTTGCAGAACAAAAATGTGGACAAAAGCATTTATTTTTCTTTGTCATACTGTAATTATGCAGTCTTCGGTCTCACCGAACACATCGGCCTCAGACAGTGCCTTGAACGTTGTCGCTATAATTAAATGAACTATAAATTATATGTCACGTAGACCTGTTCAATCATTGACTCTTCACTGGAGGACATGTGCTGTCCCTTGTGTGCAGTTAATAAGTAAAAGATGAGCCATGCATGTTACATACAGGTTTTTCATGTTGGTTACTATAATGCAGAGTATGCTTGTATGTTTTTTTGTTTGGGTGGGGAACCGAAATTAAATGAAAGAGTTATCACTAAGTGTGACTTTCACCATACGAGACATGATATCACTGTTTTATAAATACCGTAATAATGTGATTACATAGATGAGTGCTGTACTTCATGCACTAATAGATAGTTGCAAGTGTCTCCTCAGCACTTTTTTGGAAAAGCTGGGAAGCGCCCAATGCTTGGCTTTTTCGAACATATTTCTCAAGGCTATAAACTCTTCTGTTATTTACAGAAAGGAAGTATAAAATAAAACATCTATTTGTTTCAAAGTTTTACATACCTCTACCTAAGAAAAAGAAGACATTATATGTTGCAATGTGATACTGTTTTTTGAAAAAAAAGAAAGAAAAATAAGTCAAAAGATGTAAGAACTGGGTGGACTAAGCATGTTTGGGCTATAAAAACAATTTTTAGATTGAATAATCCAGCAATGGGTCTGAAGAATGTGATCATCTCAAGATGGTTTATCATGATTAAATACCTGGACCTTTGCTCCATTAATAAATAAGAAGTCATAAACACATTTTACTAAAGGTTTGTTAGTTTAATTCAAGTATTGAACATGACTTGACTGTTTCAGGATGTTGACTGTCAGCACTAATTCATAAAAGAAAGTTAACAGGACATACATAAAAGTAAATTAATGCATGTAAATATTCTACAATATTCTAATGCATTAAAATAGGAATGTATCCTTTTATTGATCAGTCATACCAACAGCTTATGATAAAGATTGTATCAGATGTGACAGCTGCATTGCTACATGCATAATCACAATTGGTCCCAGTAGATTAAAGACACAAATAAATGAGGTTACTTCAAAACAAAAGAGTTTGGTCTTATTTTCCAAGTCCAAAAAAATAAAAAAAGAAAGGCAGTGAACAATTTGACTAAATCTGAGGAATATCGGCATCTGCCATCAGTTCATGAAGTAAACACTTAAAAGCATTCAGACATATCAAAAGATGTTTTCGTGGCAAAGATCTCAGATGTATGAAAATCCCTTTTTTTTGCCCCCTTAGTGGCTGATCAGGGCGATAGCACAAATATGCTGTTATGAGCAATGCTCTGAAGAAAAGGCTTTTCAAAGGCTGAGATAGAGGCTCAAAGAGCACACAGGTCTCATGTGTCACGTAGAGCTTTTCCTACCCTGCCATGCTGGTGTTCCTTTTCTGTCGCTCATTAGGCCTTTAACCAGCCTTTTAGAAATGATTTGAGGTCCGAGGCTTCCACTGGCTCCTGGACAAATACTGGCTCAGTGTCCACATGTGTGCACTCCGCTCTCCGCACATGAGTCTACATGAACAACCCAAAGAGCTTTTATCACGACAAAAAAAGTAATGTTGTGTAACTCTGCAAGTTAAACCTGTCAAAGTCATTTTAGCTGACACTAAAACTGGGAAACAAAACGTACTGCAACTAACCTACTTCCCTAGCAAATGTGCAGTTTGGCAACAAACTAGCTACCCTGTGTGGATGCTTGATTTATCAGATTGGTTGATCTGTAAGCACATCTCATTTACAAAATACGGTATCAGGGGTGATGTCTGCGAGGCCTTGAAGTGTGATTTCAAACATTTATATATGTTAGGCCGAGAGCAAACATAAGACACACAAGGCAAAGAGCCATGGGTGTGTTTAATTTGTCTTTCCACTCATTTCCTTTCCCTTCTGAGGAAAGGAAGGGAGGAAACCTCAGGAAATAAAGCAACAGAGGTGGCCGCCGCCGGCATGGTTCATCAATTTTGTAGGAAGGAAGTCGTGCAAATCTGGGATCAAATTGGCTGAACTCTGTGAAGGTTAAAAAAGGAAATAATTGCCCCAGCTACTTTTGATCGTGTATGAAAAATGTATCAATGCTCAAATAATTCAAAGTCATATATGTGGATTAGTTGATCAGTAAATGGGCCTGGTTTTACCTTCATCTCACCCAGGCCAACATGATTGAGTGCAGCTCTTTTTTAATGTTGGAACAACCTTTAAAGAAGGCCCTTTGTGCAAATTTTGGAATATCTAAGGTAACAAAGCTTCTAGAAAACATTCTTTATCTATAATTTCATCCATGAGATAGGCTACTCATCCAAACTGGAAGCACTTGAAACGTCGGTGATGTTTAAACCTCTCTAACTGCCCGGCATCACACCCAGCCCACAGCCCTTGCGGTAGCTCTTCATTTCTTCTCTCCGTCCGGTTGATCTACACCGTGGAATCCTCTGACCTCCTCTCAGCCGCTCTGTTAGCGTGAAGCACGGCGGCGTGGACGGTGTGGAACAGAAGGCTGCTCCTGTCTTTGTCGTTGTCGCCGAAGAACTGTGCCTTCTGCAAAGTGTCGATGATTGAGGTGTTACAGCCGGCGAGGAGCACGCTCACCCCAATCTCTCTGTATTCCTTGACCAGTGCTTTGAAAGTGGCCGTGCCAGTGGAGTCTATGAAAGGGATGGCCGAGCAGTCTAAGACGATGGCGTGGAACTCCAGCTCTTCCGGGACCAGCCCGACGAAGACGTCGCCGTTGTTTTTCCCCCCGTTGGCTTTGGCGTTTTGGGCGGACATTTCTCTGGCCCTCTTCTCCGCTTTCCTCCTTCTAGTCGTCTCCAAGAATGGCTCGACTCCAACGGCTTTATACAGGGATTTGAGGAAAGATTCCTTATTGGCGTAATAAAGAGGGGCCTGGAAGCGGAAGATCTGAACCCGGGGCGGCGGAATGAGGTTCGTGTACTCTTCCAAGTCCTCGTAAAGATCAGTATCACTGACCCGCCCGAGGAGAGCAACCTGAAATCATTTTTTTTTAAGACATTGAGGTTGTGAAAACTGTTTAGTAGACACAGTTACTTCATAATCCTCTGCTGACATCAGGCCAATGACTCACCTTTGGGTTCTGGGTCTTAAAGATGACGCAGGCCATGGAGAAGACGATGCCCACTAGCAGGCCCAGCTCCACGCTGATCAGGGCTGTGGCCGCCATGGCGACCATCCAAACTATGGCGTCGTTCCGACTGGCCCGCCACTTGGCCGGGACGTCCCTGAACTTCCGCAGGGCTCCCCGGAGGCTAACGATGATGATGCAGGCCAGGACACATTTCTGGAGCGCGTGGAAGAAAGGAGCAAAGAAGAGCAGAACCAGGAGGACCACCAAGGCGCTGATCAGACTGGACACCTGGGGGGTCAGATAAAGTGAAGACGTTTAGCAACACTGAAGACTGTAATACACTTAAAGTCAGGACGCAATTCTGACACACGCTTTGAATGATTTTCCTTTTTTACTCCTCTTCTTTTCTTTTTTTTCAGTGTCAGAATATTTAAATATTTTACTTATGCAGACCATTCTCCATTTCAGGCTTCTGAAAACCAGAAAAAAGAACAACATATGTTTTTTGTTTTTTTTACATAGGTAAACCTTTGTTTTCAAACACAGTTTTTGTTATTTTTGTAACTTATTTGATACATCTATTGCCAGCCATGTAAATAATTCTTGAGTGTTAATTATATTATCATTGATTATATTATATATTTTTATTATATTATTATAATTATTATATCATTACTATTACTACTATTATTATTACATACTACCCTTTCTCACATTTAACTACCAGTTTTCTAACTTTTTTTGGTTTTCTATTTTTGCATCAAAATTCACTGGAATTGCAAAATAAATAGATCAATGAAGGAATATACATATGTGCATGTACCTATCATTTTGTTTCTTTGTTTTAAAAATAGAAGCCTGAACTTTAATCACAAGAAAAACTAGGTAAAACTCAATTTATCCCCTCTTTTACCCTCACTGGTAAAATAATCATCTCAGTCAAACTTGTGAAGCAGATAAACCAAGTGTGAGCATCTGAATACAGACTATTACAAATGTCTGTATGAATGCTCTTGACTATTATTAATAATGTTTTATCCACCTGAGTCTGGCAGCCTGTGGAGTCTTTGACCATGGTTTTAGCCAGGGCTGCACTGGTGGTGAAGCAGTGGAAGAAGGAGGGGATGATGTTGCAGAGGCCGATGGCCAGCATCTCCTGGTTGGGACGTACGGTGTAGCCATTCTTCTTGGCGAACATCTCAGACAGCGACACTGTGAATGCAAAACTACAAGACATTTAGGAGAACAGGTGAGGTGGTAAATTCATCTTTAGCCATGTAGTCATGTGATAATAGATTTGCAGTGTGTCCCCGGTGGATATGGTTAGGTACCTGCTTGTGTGTACTTTGTCAAGAACGTGGAGACAAAGCCCTTTGTGAGTACTCTTCCCGTGATTGTGCATGGTGGGGTTAATTTGTTGAACATTACCTGATAACAGCTAGAGGAATGGCGTCCAGCACCACACGCGACATCAGGCTGAAAGCAGGCACTTGAGGAGGGATGAATCCTGTGGGGATGTGACCAGAAACACTAGAGCCGAAACGGGCGTTGAGGTCCCCAAAGTGGCTGGCCAGCGTAGCTCCTGCCACAACCACCAGCTCTGTCGGTAGAGGGATCTTCAAACGGTCCTTGTAGCGTTCCTGGATTTCTTTCCCTGCCACTGCAGTCGAAAGTCTAGTCACTTCTTGCAAAATCAAACTACATATACATATATGACCCAACTCTGCAGTATTGTCCCAAATAAACATGATCCCAAAGACAAAGGCACACCTAATATGGAGATGCAGATTGCACTAGTGACGAGGTCACACAGGTTGGTCTTGTGTATGTTGGCAAAGATGTTGATCCAGGTGATGACCACTGTGCCGTAGCCCTGGTGACGTGGAATCTTTAGCCCCAACAGGTATTTGGCCTGCACGGTCAGGATGGTGAAAGAGGCCCCCGTGGCAAAGCCATCGAGCATGGGAGAGGAGAGGTACACTGAGACAAATCCCAACCGGAACACTGCCATCATAATCTGTATGGTGGAGTGGGGAGGTCAGGATAAAAAGGAGGGGAGAAGGACAGAGATTGGAAAAAGAAATGAAAGATTGGATGAAAAAGTGTGACACAGTGTTTGAGGTGTTAAAGTTGCACTCCTCCAGGTCAACTTTACAGAAGATAAATAATTGGATTAAGAATAATCATACTTTAATTTAGTATATGAAAGTTCATGCTAAAAATCTATAAATTGTCTTGAGAAACTTGAAGGTAATCTTTTCTTTTATGAACTAAAGAGTTTTTTCTAGTCATTGCAAGGAGAGGAACTGTAAACTTTTTTATGACTCCGGACATCTTTAATGAATGAATGAATGAATGAATTAACTGTCGCCTATCCTCCTACCTGATAGACTCCGGCTAGGAAAGTGACAGCGGCAGCGACGCTGATGGCGTAACACTCCTTCCCACACTGCATTCCCATCAGCTCCACCGTGTGCACGGCCCCCCCGGTGATGTTAGCGGCCGCCGTACTGTTGAAAATGTCAGGAGACGACGTGGAGTCGTCACTGAGATCAAAACCTGCCAGAAAAACCTCCCTGTCCACCACCTGAGAAAAGATAAGTCAAAGATTTAGCACTTTATTCAATGGAATTCTGAAAAATGCAGACACACAGTGACGATTTAAAAAGCCGGTGTTAGTGTCACTGGGAGTGTGTCACAAAGAAACTAACCAACAAAACTAGTGAGAAGGGCTCTAATAATTGGTTCCTGTTTTATGTAATTAATGAATACGTCTAATTGATTGGAATTAGCGTATGTATAATGAATAATATAATAGTAATTTGACAGGAACCCAAAGACAACGTGTGTCAACGACTTTTGAGTTTAAAGTACTTTCCGAAAAGGCACTGTGGTGTGTACAATATTCAGAGTGATTAAGGATAATGTTTAATAGATTACCACAAACGTTAACCACCGCTATTGTTCTAACAAACAAAACCAGTCCCAAGTGAGACAACGTTACCTGTCCAACCATGAGGCTCATGAGGCTGAAGATCCCCACGGACACATGTCTGGAGGTTCCCATGAGGAAGTAGATGATGTTGGCATAAAAGGAGGTGTACAGGCCGTAGATCGGCTCCACCCCCGCCAGCAGGCAGTAAGCGATGGCTTGTGGTATCAAGATGATACCCACGATCACCCCGGACATGGCATCGCCCCAGATGTACTCTTTGAGTTTGTATTTCGGGAGCCAGCGCACCACGGGGAAGAATCCCGTCAGCGTGGAGCGAACTCTGGGCGCGGAGCATGTCACCCCCTGCCTCAGCTTGGCTCTGAGCGCAGAAACGGTCGGCTGTCGCTGGCGAGCGCGCCGCTCCAAGAGGGGCGGCGGTGCCAGTTGGGTTTCTGTTACCTTGGAGACCTCCTCCATGGTTTAGGGGTGGAAGAGGAGGGAGGACAATGTGAGGAAGAGGCAGGTGATGGGGTGGTCAGCTGTGCTCCTGGGGAGGAACAACAGGGAAGCGGGTTTATAACACGGATTTTCTTTGTGAACGTTGTTTCTGAGGTCTGGAACTGTTATCTTTTTCTTTCCTTATATTTGTTTTTTTCATGTAAAAACATGACACCTCATAACTAAAAATATTTCTCCACAGAAATATGCTTTTAAAAAACTCAATAAAATATTTGCGCCAAGCTAAAACAATGAAATAATCCTTTTCTCCATCTTTTTAAAATTCCAGCTTAGAAAAAATGAAACAAACTTCCAGCTATATGTCTTTTTTGGACAGTTGTTTTTCCTATGCAAATGCAACAGTCTGAGTCAGTATGTAAACTTCTTGTCTTCCTGAATGCGTTAATTGTTTCTGGACATCATCCTTTAAACTTGTGAATCAGCCCATTCTTTGAATATTCACTCAGGATCATATATTAACAGTATGTTGCAGTACTGTTGGCTAAGCGTTAATCTCCTGTTTCCAGAGCACCAGGTGTTCAGCTCCTCACATGTTGCATAAATCAGCAGTGAGGATCATGGTGTGTTCCCTTTTAGGAAGTGATTCAATCAGATCTAAATGCATTATTGATAACCCTTTAATCATATCAGTGTGTGAATTAGAAAACAGAAGACAGTTGCCGGTAGTTGAAAGGTAATCTTTTCCACACAGTTGTTCCGTGTCAAGCACAGGTAGATTGTTTCCTTGTTCTGTGTCTTTAGTTAAACTGACTGATTCCATGCTGTGCTCTGAAATGTTGGTAGGGTTGAGTGGGGGCTTGTTATAATTATAACATGGGAAAACTAAAAAGAACGTCTATATATGGTTATCAAAACAACCAAAGAGCTTTAACCAACAAGCTGGACTTGAGATAAGAAACCTCTAAAAATGGTGAAGAATGCTCATTCTTGAGTGTTTTTTAGTTTTTTAAAGCCTGTGTGGAAATATGTATCTGGTTTAAAATGAACAGTCACAACAATTACACATTGTGTTGAAAACCTGCACACATGTAAAGGACTACTAATCAAAATTTCAAAAACCTGAAGGAGGAGTCAAACATTGGCAATTGGATGAAAATGGGGGCATGTATGCAGTAACAGATATGTGAGGCCAGGACTTTGTATTTGTAAAATACTTATTTTTTCTCTGTCAGGTTTGAAACTGTATTTTACAGCATCTTTTAAAGCACTGTAGGCCTAATCAATTTTCTATGAGCAGACTTAGAAAACTATCGAGGAGATTATTACCCTTAAACGTCAAATTTGTTATTTAAACTATCCTGTTGTGCTGGGATGCCATGTCAAATCCCTGTTTACTCTTTACATTTGGCCAATAAAGCGATTTCTGTTCTGTTTCTGATCAAGTGACCAACATGTGCATGACAGTGGAGAATAAAGCCTGTGTTCTCAGGCTGGTGATGGGTGTTCATGCTATGTGAATTGTTTTTCGCGGTGTAAGCTCAGAGGTAACCATGTGTCAGAATCCATAAAGCACTCTAACTGCTGTGTAATCTGCATCTGCCATCACAACGCTGGCATTTAGACTTCTGGTGGCTCAACCGGCCCTGATGTTCTGAGATGACACCAAATAGACAAGATTGGTTGTTTTCTCACAGTTTGTGCGACATAGTGAATAATCACAGTTTTGGTTAGTCTGGCTTTAGGTATTAGTAGTTTCTTTAGTCTCAGTTGAGTTTTGTTGCACTCTGAGTTGAGTAAGTGTTCAATTTACATAGAAATGACCCCTTTGAAAATTAAATACAGAGGACAGTCTGTGCTCACGTGGGTTGTTTGAATTTCCTCTGACATTTTTAAATGACAGAAAACACAGGAGGCAATTCATGAGCCCATTTCGACACACAAAAAGGAAAATAAAACACCCTTTTTAATTGTTGCCCATGGCAGGAATCACACTGAGGGGGCCTTTGGCACCAAACAAATACGGTTAGTTTTGGAGCCAGGCATGAAGAGCCCTGAAAGGTGTCTGAGAAGGAGCCCTTTCTAATCACTGCTCTGCACCTTTTTGCCCGTGGCACTAAAGCTCCACCCCGCTGCTCAGAAGTTACGGCTTCTCAGAGGCACGGCTTTCTCCTCACTCACTTCATGCTTTTGAATTAATCTCGTAAAAATGACATCAAAGTTCAGAATAGACACGTGACCAAAGGTCTGCTCGTGCTCAACTGCCTTAGGTGTAGCAGTTTAAATCATGTCATGTACAGTACGTCTCATGACAAAATGAAGTTTTTGCTTGGCTTTTTTCCCTTGATTTTTGGTTTGAACTTTTGAGGTTGACAACAATGTTAGCTGTCTGTAGAAGAAGATAAACAGAAATGCAATTAAGCTGTGTTTTTGATAAGCATGTGCAAACTTGCACAAAACGTTACAGAATGATTGCATCTGTAAAAAAATAAAGAAGTACTGGCAAAGTATGTTTCAGTTTAGTAAAATCCGTAAATATGCAGGTGACACCTCATGAAGTGAAGACACTACATGACATAATCAAAGCTTAATAATTAAGGAAAATCCTCCCTGCAGAGGTGTATACACAATTGTAGCTGACTAAAAACCACCTATGAAAGCATTCTTATTTAAAAAGCCTACATTTATATCTACATAGAAATAAATACTCCACAGAACTAAGAGAGATGAAGTACTCACCTGCAGAGTGTCTTCCTCACTGAAAAGAGGATTTAAAAAATGTTTTCTTGTTTGTTTCAGCCAGCGTTGTGTTGACTGTTTTAAACTCTCTGTATAATCTGTTTCCCCCTCTGTTCTGTTCCTTGTATGTCTCTGCTCAGATGTCATGGAAGCAGTCGGGGGCAGCAGATGTGAGTGTGATCTCAGCTGAATTTATAGTGATAGCCGAGCAGCCCTTTGGTCACCTCCACTCTGGCCCCTATTGGCCTGATCACTGGAAGTGGGTGGGCTTTATATTTTTTATTTGTGCCTGTGTTTGTGAGTTAGCAGGAGGTTAAATCAAGTTTTTTTTTTTTTGCTCTGTCACAGTGTTTAACAGCCTTGGTTGATGTCTGGGCCAGAAATAGTGGTTGTAAAGATTGCAAAGAAAGTATGAGCACAGACTAAGAGTCAACAGGTTGGTTTGTTTGAATATACCCCGTAGACCGTTTGGATTACATGGCAAACAGAAGATAAGCTCTACCTTAAGTGCTAAAAGCAGTTAAGTGTTGCTTTTCTTTCTGTAAACTCCTCAATGAAATAGTCTATTTTTTTAACCATAAAATAAACCCAGAACTTTGATAAGTAATTTGCAGCAAAAGAGGCAAAAATGAGCTGTTTTTTCTTTTTTTCCATATGTGTACCAGACAGTCGGACATGGCTGCATAATTCTTAATTACGAAGATCAGGTCTGAACCACAGCCGTGAAAGGTAAGTGAACTTGTTGTTTGGGGGTACAGTTTTGTTCTCATCAAAAAAAATGCTGCCATGTCAGAGAGCAGTTTGAAAAGTTGCCAAAGAATGGCAACAATGCTAAAACCGCAGGAAAATATGGGGTTCCCTGGTGGGTTAAGAGAATGTATGACAGCAGGCAGCACCGGCAAACTGCAGTTTAATTCACAGATGAGCCTAAAAAACTAATTTTCTCTGAAGTTTACATAGAACAAACCCCGATATACATATAACACGAGGACACAATCTTTGTCCTTGTCCTTCTAAAAATGATATAAATGTTTATGACTTCATTTCTTCATTTCTGACTGATTTTTAAGTAAAAAATTATTATTTCCTGCTTGAACACATATGTGACAGTGATTCTTAAAAGTTGTTTGCACAGATCTGAGCATGCATTGACAGAATGTACCATCAACAGATAAACAGAATCCATTCTCAATGTCACGAATATCAGAAGAGTAACATGTTTTCTGTTGTGCACACATTGATGTTAATGAAAAATACAAGATAATGTAGTGTTACTTCCACCTAGTGGTGGGTGTTTTTTTAAGAGTGATAAAACCAAGAGTAGGTCATCAGCTTTGTAGACTGAAACACCCACCCCTGAGTTTTTTTAAGCGAAAGAAACTGTTTTTAAAACTTACAGTAGAGAAATTTAGATTTGAAGAAGTCAAATTGTTCATCCTTTTTACACTGTGATGCAGTTTTTAATGTAGATGATGGGTACCAAGTATTTGTCTTGATACCGTCATATTGTATGTAAACAGACATTTACCACTGCATTTCCTACTTATAATACAACATTTTGAAGGTGTTTAAGGTTTGTGAAAGAGTTTTAAGTTTGTTGTCCCTTAAGCAGCAAGAATGTTTGGAATTTCTACCCCAAAATGGCCTCAAGCTTGATTGTCAACCATCAAACAATATCTTCAGATAGATAGGGATACTCAGACTTTCTATAAAATGCTGTTCGAAACTATAGTTCATCTCGTATTTACGGAGCAGTGAAGGAAATGTCAAACTCACTGACTGTCTAAGACCAAAATATCACTTTGTACTGTAGAAAAACTCGCCCTGTTCTGAGTTCAAAGCACACAAATATATACAGAGATGAATAATCTAGTTATGGTTAGGTGAAATATTCAAATAATCTTGAGAGAGGGACTCAACAAGAACAAACACAGCTTGAAATCACTGCCTGGATGTGAGACAGTGGCTCTCTGTATGTGAGAGCATGTGGGCATTCCCATGTTCAACTACACTGAATGCAGTTATTGTTTCTGTAAAGATGTGGCAGTTTTCTCTATGTTCCTCAAATGTGGTCACGCTCAACCTTACCATCAACGTTTCGTGACATTACAGAAAGTCAAGAGGCTGCCATGTCACTTCCTGCTCAAAAGAGAAACAGAGCACTTGTGTTCTTGCCTTGTCTCCTTTTTGTGGCTATGTACGCAAAAAAAAACTCTCCATCCTGTTCCATCTGAGCAGATCTCTGCACCGTCCCTTTAAATCTGTGGGCAGCATCCTTCTGCCAGCAGGTCTCTCTACCATCGGCATGTCACATCCCAGGCTTTCTTTAAAAACAAGTGAACGGGGCGGGGGGGGGACTCACCCGGAGAGAAGGAGCAGCTTGGACATGTCATGGGGATGACGCAGGCCATTCCTCCCTGAATGATGCCTCCTCAGTCACCATCAGTGTGTTTTCCTCTCTAATGCTCTGCTCTCTGCTGCTCTCTCTGACTTCTTCCTGCTTCCTATCACAAAGCATGCCGGGAGCAGCAGCAAACGGCAGCTTGTCTCTGCCTGTGGATTGGAGGCCCGATCAGGGGGAGGGGGGAAGGGGGAGAGAAGAGAAGAGAAGAAGACGAGAGATGCGGGGTGGGAGGGGGAGAGAGGAGGATTACTATGGAGACTGAGGTCCTACAGTTCAGTGTGTGTGTGTGTGCTCAGATGAAATGGTCCCAGTGGGATGTCAGAAGTGCAAAACTGTACTCTTAACATTCACTCATGGTGCAGACTATTAACTATGATTTAATTTGGTTTTATCCAATTATATATGACCACTATTACAATATATGGAAGGTACCCGTAGAGCCATGATGGAGATCATGTGCTGTTGGTGCTATTAATGTTTAATTAATTCCCAATTAGTGGTTCTGTGGATATGTTGTTCAGTCATCTACTAACATCTTCTCTATCTTCTTATCCTCCATCCATCCATCCATCCATCCATCCATCCATCCATCCATCCATCC